TGATGTAACTTTAGCTACTATTGACATTCCAACAATCCATCAGAAGGAAGATCTGCTTTGGTGAACCTGGATCATCAAGCCACGACAAATGTCCATAGTTGGATGTGCAGGTACTATTTTGGGACCAAGGTTGACCTTGAGTAACTGAAACTGTTGAAAGTGAAAAGACGGATTAAGGGAGTGGGGTAGTAGGCTGGCCTAACTACAGGGGGTTCCTGAACTTAAAATATGTGAGCTCATCACCTTCTGTGCACAGCTTTATAGCTGAGCCGAGGTCCAGGACATCTCTGTTGACCTCCTATTATACTTGTTTCCACCTAGAACTTCCGTTAATCTTCACAGCATGTGTTGGAAAAAAAAAAAAAGAAAAAAAGAACAATTCTGTATTGACCAAAAACTACAGTGGGAAAGGGAATGGGATGCAGGAATGATTGCAATGATTTTCTATTTTACAAAGCAAATTTACCACCAAGAAAATTTGGAGAGTTGTGTTATTCATCTACATAAATATAATAATTCAAATTTACCTGAACTCTTTACTTGTGTGTACACCTTCCATTTTTAATACCAAATTGTCTATCAGATTTCTACTCTTACAACTTTGATGTAATTGGGGGTCAAAACGGAGTATGACTAAGCAATGTACAGTAAGCTACCGAAGACAATGCATACTATTTGTTGAAAGCACAGAACCACAGTCCAAAACAAAAGGGTACAATGTATCAATATTTATGGGAAGGGGCAGGACAATATTTTATTAGAGTCAATAAAATATAAAAGATTAATTTTTTCCAGAAAGAAGAACAGAATTTATATTTTACATAGTGTAATATAAAAATATTATTAGTACGGTAATACTATTACTACTGAAAATGGAACTATTACTTATTTAATAAGATGGTCACTGGCTTCTAACCAGTATCACAATTCACTTGACAGATCTGAGGTTTCCTTAAGCAGGTTTTTCTTTACCAATCTCCCTGGGCTTGCCATTCCCATCTCCCACATAGTTGGATGCATGCAGTAGCAGCTTGCTATAACAGATGAACACTGTGGTAGGCTAACACAAAGAAATGCTACAGAACCAAAAAACTATAATTTAAAAGAATTTTAAAGGGGAAAAATTTTTCTAATAAAAATGCTCAGTGGGGATGTCTTTAAAGACTAGATATTAAAGTCAGCCTTAAAATATCACTTAATATAGTAAGGAAAATTCCTTTCATGAGATTTGACTTTCTATGTAATCCATAGCCTGGTTCTTTTTTATAAACCTTTGAATCTGTTGTGAATAAAATAGATTATACTAGAGATTCAAAAGGTTTTTTATTAGCCATCAACAACTTGAAGATTATTAGGTTACATTTCAGGTTATTTAGAATAAGATTTTTTAAAATATGAAACTGATGTGGAATCATATCATATTAGAACTGTCTCAGAGTTCATTTTAAGTCAATATATTGAATATCATGTTCACTTAAAAATATTGTTTGTAAACTCTTTATTAATATCAAGTAGAAAGAATTTATATCTTCATTATGCCTAGGAGTAATTTAAATAACTCCCCAAATCAGTTTCTTTTCACATAGTATAATACATTATTACCAGACAACATTGCCTCTTGTCAAAGAGAAACAAACCATTGTACTAGGCTCAAAATTTTTGTGAAAAAAATATTTAAGAAAGTAAACCATAAATGTAATTAAACCCCATTGAAATTAAACAATTCTTGGGGAAGCAGCTATTATTCTGACCATCAACATTGCCATAAGAGTAAACAGTTTAACTTTATAGGGTTATTTACTAATCTTGCTGGGAATGATTCCCATCATTTTAAGAACGAAGACTCTGTACTTCTTTCTTTAGATTAAGAGTAATAGGTCTAGAAGATGGGAAACCAAAATTATACTAGTCTTTTGATTCCATGATAGTGGGTTCCTTTCTCTGTTCTTCAGTAGTGAACTAATATGATTGTTGTCCATAAATATTGTAAGCATCAACTAACAATTTTTGGAAAGTTTTTTTTAGCCTTTTTGACCATTTGTGACATCAATAATGACAGGATTCTTGGCCTGGCCGGTAAGGCTCAGTTGGATGGGTGTCATCCCATGCACCAAAAGGTTGATGGTTCAGTTCCCGATCAGGGCACATGCTAGGATTGCAGGCTCTATCCCAAGTAGGAGGCATGCAGGAGGCAACTGATGGCAGTTGATAGATGTTGCACTCTCACATCGATATTTCTCTCTCTCCCTTTCCCTTCTTATCTCTCTAAAAAAAAAAAATCAATTAAAAATATATTTAAAAAAATCTTAAATAGTAATAATGGCAGGATTATTTTTCTCCCTCTAAACTCTAATATATTTTTGCACCATCATTGTTTCTTTCTCAATTTATTTTTAATATTTGTTCTGAATTATGACAGGCATGTTTAGTATAGGAAACTTGAATAATAAAAGGAAAAACTATAAATCTGATAATTTTTTCCTCCAGGATTCTGATGAAATAATTTCAACCTGAACAAGGTGTTTCACCTCTTTATTTCAATGCTAAGAAAATATCTTTCAAATAATTCATTCAAGTTTTTGATAAATTTGGTTAATATGGTTAATTGCATCTTCTGTCTTTACTAGAACAGCAATAGAGGTATTGCTTCACAGGTAAAGTTAAATTCAGAAAACTAAAAGCTAGCATAATTTCACTCCTCTGTAGGTGTTTCTTCTTCATAAACATTATCTTAGTAGATACATCAATGATAGAAAGCCTTATTTAATGATATAATCTTCACATCAACCATAACAGTAAATTATCATCGTTCTCACTTTACAAAACAAAGGTCTGAAATCAATTGCAGGGCTCTTAGGTGGTAAAGTGAGAATGTTAGGGGGTTTGAACCTGCTCTCTCTGCTTCCAAGGGCATCCTTTCCACTACAGCCCAACACCTCCCCGTGAACATCATAATCTGCTTAATTAGGCCCTGTGGTCGAGCAAATGAAATGCTGCCCCACCTTTTTTCTTTTAACTAATACCAAAAATGTTGGAGTATCTTGATATGTAAAACTTTATTGTTTTTATGATTATTTCCCCAAAATAGAGCCTTAAAATTTGGATTATTGCATTAGAAGTAGGAATATTTTTTAGGTAATTTGTATATATTACCTATTGCTTTCCTCAATAAGATTGTTCAAATTATAATTCAATCAGCAAAGCAGGAGGCTTCCTGCTTCACTGTGCCCTTTATAAAAATCTTGGTTATAAATAATAAAAAAAAATCTTGGTTAATTTAATAGATAAAAATGGATATTTTGTTGCTAAGTTTTAAAACAAGTATTGCTACAATTCACTGTGTTTTAATATATCAATTCCCATTCTATAGTATGAACCTTGTATAAGGGCTTTCTAGCTCCTATTCTATAAATGGGAAGATATGGGAGTGGTCTTTAGACCTTTATTCATTCATAGTTATCCAGCTCCCACTCTAGGTCAGGCACTGTGCTAATGTTAAGGATATAAAGATGAAAGCCCATCTCTGACCTCACAGAGCTTGTGAACTAGCAAGAGACACAGAGACACAAATAGACAATTATAGCACAGCACTACTAGGACAGTGATCAAAGTAACACAGAGGAAGATGCTTTGAAAAACATGGAAGAGGGCACTTAAGCCATCTCAAGGGAGGTCCCGGAAGCCTTTTTGGAGATACTGAGGCCTGAGCTCCATCTTGAAGAGAAGTAGAGTTAGCCAGATTTGCCCTAACATATCCAACCAGAATAAACTGCTTCTTTATCTGTGTGTTTCTTTACTAAGGTGTATTACACTTATTTGGTTCCATGTCTCTTTTATTATATAGGATGCGTTTTTTTTTCTTTTGATTGTAAAAATACTGTTAACCGCACATGCATCAGAATGGATAGAGAGGATGGAAAATAGGAAGTGTTGGTGAAGGATGTGGAGCAACGGGAATGCTCATACATCGCTGGAAGGAGTAGAAATTGGCGCAACCACTTTGGAAAACTTTTGGGTCATATCTCTTAAGCCAGCAATTCCACTCCGAGGAATAAACTCAAACCCAAGTGCAGGCATACTTTTACCAAAAGTGGCACTATTTATAATAGTTCTAAACTAGAAAATACACAGATGCTCATCAACAGTAGGATGGATAAACAATGAGTTAGGGTCCCACACAGCAAGAAAAATGACTCTACACACTATATTAAGGAATTTCATAAAAATAATTTTGATTACTATAGAGCTAGATTTTTTTAAAGCACTTACTGTATGATTACTTTTATGTAAAGCATAAAAATAGGCAAGAAAACCTGCTGTTAGAGGTCAGGAAAGGTCAGAAGTGGGGGTTTAGTGACTAAGGGGACAGGAAGGGGGAGCTTCTGGATGTGCAGATAGGGTTTCATTTCTTGATCTGGGTGCTGCTTACCTGTAAATTCAGTTTTTGCCCTTTTCTGCATGTATAGTAGACGCTTGAATAGCACTGGGTTTAGGGGTACTGACCTGCCACCATATAACTTGCCAGCCCTTCTCATACATGGATTCCCAAACACAGATTGAAAAGTATATTAGACTTAACTAGATTTTTAAAAAGAATAATAATAATAATAATAACAATACATCTTATTTGAGAGGAAGCTGAAAAATACAAAAATGTTTTGAAAAATTTAAATCACCCAAAACCCACTTGTGCTACCTCCTCCCTTTCTGCTCCCCACTTATTTACACGCACATTTTGCTAAATTAGGCTCATTTCTATTTAGGTTTATTTGTTTTTTATTTTTACTTGAAATCAATCCTTATCAAATATTCATTGCAAGCATGTTTTTTTAAAGCTGCAGCAATGTATTCCATCAAATGTGTATGTGTGTATATATATATACACACATTACACATACATAGTGAACATATATACACTTTTCTAGGAACACTTACTATTATATATGATTAGAATATTATATATTACGCACATGTAGTCCTAGAACAGGAGCTACTGGGTCATGAACATTTTGTAAGCTCTGCATTCGTTCTCTACTTCCTTCCAGAAAGGTTGCATCCCCTAGCAAGGCGTGAGGGATCCTTCTATCACAATCCAAACCCAGGTCATTTATTATTATTTCTACTTGTTTTTAAGATATCGGGGCTTACAACAGGACGAAGGAATCTGCCCTATTGCATCCGGCCAAGGCTCTCAGCAGGAACCGGCTTTTCCCCAAACCCTCCCTTCCTTCTAGGCCCCAAGCTCACAACTCGCGCCCTGCGGGCTGCGCTGTGCGGCTGCGCGCCTGAGCCCCCGACGCCCCCGGTTGCCTTGGGAACCGCACGCCCAGCCGTAAGAGGTGCAGAAACCAGGCCATGGAGCTCCCGGAGCCGGTCCGCCAGCGGCTGGGAAACTTCAGTCGGACCATGTTCAGGGACTCCAACCGGACCGAGCCCGAGTACAGCGAAGGTCCGGGTGAGTGGCCGAGGCCCACCGCCGGGAGTGTGGCCGCCGAGGACCAGCGGGTTTGGAGCACGGATGTTGCCAGGACCCAAAATGGCGGTTTCGCCTTCAGCGGGCGCCGCAGTGCGGGAGCGCCTTGGAGGAGAGGCCGGGCGAGAGCTGGGCTGGGACAGCTCTGGTCCCTGATGGTGGAACGGCTCCGGTCCCTGATGGCGCTGGTGCCAGGCTGATCGTGCTGAGGCCTGGCCCGCGAGTTCCCAGCAGGGCAGCTGAGGTGGAGCTGGCCTTCCTCAAAGAAAAACATGAATGCAAGAAAGCCGCCTTCGCAGCACACGGCGGAGGCCCTGGCTTTTTCAGCCTGGATGGCGGGAATCGCCTCTTCCCACTCCTCACACCCACCCCCACCCCCACCCCGTAAAATATGTTTTCCTTTACAACTTTCCTAGCAGAACAAGCACGTTCCACCACAAGGTGGTTTTCTGGCGGAAGAGATGGAAAGAAGTTTTTTTAATGAGTCGTTTTAAACCGCTATCCACTCCCGAGTGACAGTGGCCACACTAGCTAGCATCGCCTTCAGCAAAACTCTCTGC